TGCAAATTTTTATGAGCCCAGATAATGCACCATTGGAGTAAGTTTTTAAATATCAAAAAATTAGGCCACGCTTTTTTTTTCTCACAAAACTGTGGCTTATTTCCATATTGAGGTTTTGCGCCATTTTCATAATAATCATAAATAACGCTGGCTTTAGATAAGCGAACTTGACTTAACATTCATGAACTGTTACAGATGAACAGTAGTTATGATAATAGCATATTATTCGTAAAAAAATTATAATTTAATGTGACGACATTATTCGAAAAACAGCCTTAAATACGCCATTTCTTGTTTCCATAAATGGCAGACGACCTTAGACTTTGTAGCGAGAGGAGTTCTATATACAAACTATACACCTTTTTTGTTAGTACCGGGATGAATTGTAATATTGTTAATTTCGAATGACATAGTAAGTTCTGGTACAGAAACCTTGTTCTAAGAACATCTTATTTTTTTCGCATTCTTTGTAGCTTAGATACTCTTAGAGATGCATTCTTTTTAAATTAGCATACTGCTTTTTTTCCGGGGAGGATTTTGGTTACAATAAATCTGCAAAGAGCAATACATGTTGTAATCTTGTTACTAGTGTTATTATTGCATGCTCTAAACATGGAATAGCATCCAATAAAAGTACCCACCCTCTGTCCACCTTCTGCTGAGCAGAAGCATGTGCTATTTTTCAATTTGGGTGAAATAAAAATGGCGGACCTGATCTATAAACCTTGTACTAAGACTTCAGTTCTTGTTGAAAATGTTGCCGAAGGTGTGTTTTTCCTTTTTACAGAAACATAAAGGAAATTTTTAAACTCGTTTTATTTTCTTAAAAAAAAAAAGTTTTCTAAATATTACTTCTCTGAAGAACAACCTTGTGAAGGATTTTAATTTAATCTTCTAAAAAAGTAAGTCACTAGATCCTTTACCTCTGTGGGGGAAGGTTCATGGAGTTAAGAGGAACGTCTCAAGGTCACCTTGACTTAACACTCTTGGCTGAAATCTTCGAAGAGAAACGTCTGGCAAGAGTCCTCCTGGTGGATAATAAACTTGATGTCGGGTACAAGCTCAGGAAAGGGGGAAAAAAAGTTTTTTTGAATACATGAATAAAGAATAAATCTGTCTGTTAACTCAGTCGTGGGGCATAGTCATCAGTCTTCATTATAAAATGTAAGAGCCGACGGTGTTTTCTTTAAAGTTTTTTTTTCCTTCCACCCCTTGCTTGATAGGTTGTTTATGAAAACGTGTTAAGAGATGTCTTGAAAAGGTGTGATTGGCTATTTAGCAACGAAATAAAGTTGTGAAACTCTCAAAAAATCTGTGTGTGTTTCATACCATTTTATATTTCGAAGAATTTTTAGGTAGCAGAATTAAGTAATTAATTAAGAATTAATTAAGAATTGGTAAGAATTAATTAAGAAGTAAGATTTTTATTGTGAAAAATGTGATTATTAAGGATTTGGGTTTAAACTTTTTCGTTTAGCTCTGTACGACCGCATGAAGCTTTATATAACTGTTATAGATAGAGCGTTATAGATATAAAGCTGTTATAGATAGATATTATAGATAGAGTGCGTTTTTCGACGAAAATAAGTAACAGTATTGATAATAACAACAAAAAAAAAAAGCACGCGACACATTTTTATTTATTTATTGTGAATGGGCAAGTTTTTTTTTATTGAGACTGCAAGAAATTATAGAGACTTTTGATTGAACGACATCATCCTACTTTTTAATCTTAAAACTGTGTTAAATTTTACCACATCATCGCGCTTTTAAACATAATATTGTGGTAAATTAAACCACGTCATCCTGCATTTTAAACATAATATTGTGTAGCTCTTTGTAAAAACCATATTATTGTATTTTTTAAACATAATACTGCGCTAAATTGAACCACATAATACTTTCTAGACTTAATACGAGACTAAATTTAACAATACCATAGTATTTTTCAAACATATTAATAGTATTTGTGCTAAATTAAACTCCATTATCGTACTTTTTAAACATAATACTGTTTAGCTCTCCGCAAAAACCATATCATCGTACTTTTTAAACGTATTACTCTGCTAAATTGAACCACATCATCATACTTTTTAAACATAATACTGTGCTAAATTTAACCACACAATAGTATTTTTTTTAAGCATAATATTGTGCTAAATTAAACCATGCCATCCTGCTTTTTAAACATGATACTGTGTAGCTCTCTGCAAAAACCATATCATCGTATTTTTTAAACGTATTACTCTGCTAAATTGGACCGTATCATTGTACTTTTTAAACTTAATATTGAACCAAATTCTCGTGCATTTTAAATTTAAGACTATGCTAAATTGAATCACATAATTGTACTTTTTAAAATTAATTGATCGGTACTATGACTAAATTCGAACAGAAATAAGGTTTAATATAAGACCTTAAAGAGGTTACCGCAAAATTGTACCCTATTCAAAGTTGAGCCAATTTTTGTTCGATGCATTTAAGTTTAACTTAAAATGTCGTTTGCGTTAAAATATATTTGTCATAAAAATTATTTCAGGGGTTAATCACCAGGCTCCCTTTTGAAATATAAGTCGTTATTTTTGAAAGTGGAATAAGTCCACTCTTTATTATTTTTATTTTCGAGGTTTTTACGGATCAGTTTTCTAATGAATTTTAAAGTATTTACGAAGGTTAATTAATTTTGTTTATGTTTTCAACTCAATTTGATGAAACATTGAAATGCAGCATTGATCAATATTGAGCAAAGAAATATTAAACGATTTTAAGCTCCAAATGAACTTTCTCTAGTTTTAAAAATGACCGCTCATACTTTACTGTCTACCACTCTGTCCGATACATTAAGGATCCTGATTCTTTGTTCTTGCAAATTAACGCTGTTTTTCGAGTCTCTGTCTCAAAGGAAAATAAAAAAAATTCATAGTTTAAGAGCCACTTGAAATAATGCAATGATTTTGAACTCTATCTATGTATTCTTGGCGTGAAGAATTATCTGGGCTTTAGAACCGACAAANATAATAGCACTAAAATTGTTTGTTTACTAGCCTTGTAAAGACAATAATTTCTCCTTTAGTTTCACCCATTACATCCCCTTAAAAATTAATGAAGCGTTTTACACTGTATAAAGTTCCTGAAAACAATTTTGTTGTTGTCTTGTCTAGGTTAAATAGAGTTTGTCCAAACGAGTTGTCCGAAACAGTCCTGGCAATGTCGAAGAATTTTAGCGAACAGTGCAGCTGATAGTCTGTGGGGTTTCGGTCTATGTTGTAGAGTTAAGCCAGCGTAGAAGGACAATTAAAAATATGACCTAGAGAAAGTTGGATTTCAGGACAGTGAGGACAAGTATTGTAAGTTCTTTGGCCATCGGGGGATATCTTCATTCCCTTAAAGTGTCCTGAGGGTAGTCTGGCTATGCTCGCAATTAAGTTCTCAGATAGAACTTTTCTTCTGTGATCGGGAGGTAAGTTTACGTCTAGCTATGGCACCAGTAAGGGTTAGGCTATTAGAGAGTTTAGGGGAGTAAAGTCTCCTAAACTTTGGCTTGGTTATCAGCCTGTTCAATGCTGGATGTATTTTAAAAACAAATGAAACTTTAGGATGGTAATCAAACATGTGGTTATTCTAGTGCCAGAAATATGCATTGCTCAATTGAATACATGGTTTGTACCTCCTAATCTGATCCGATAAAAAAAACTGAAAAAACTGATACCTTTGGTCACCGATGGTGTGCGGCTCTATCTGCAGGTAACTTTTGTGAATGAATTCCAAGAAATTTCTGCATAAAATGTTCAGAATTTTCACAATTGGGTACTTGCATTTCAAGAAGAAGAAGATTACAAATACCCACACAAATGATCTAAGACGTTAGCGCCAGCTGATCGCTTATAAGCAAAACGGCGTGTTAAAGTTGAACTAACTTTCTTCATATATGTTAGAATTAAATTCAGCTCCACATCGCACATCAAATTCGTTGAAATGTAATTCTTTCTCGTCTGCGCCTTTTACTTAACTTGGATTTATTATTTTTTCAAGTACTTTGTTGTGACCGTGATCTATTTTTGCTTTGTGTACCTGGCAAACTTCGATGCATAATAAGTTTGCTTATGTTCAAAATAGCTTCGTGCCTATCTTTGTATTAAGTAAGAAATATATAATGAAAGAATTTAAATCTTTGTGAAAGAATATAGAATGTGTCACTTAAGAAAATTGACACTTGCTAGGTTTGGCTTACTCGAAATGGAAGGAAAAGAAAGTTACTAACGTAAACAAATGCCACGTTTCAACAACCAATCAGGATCGTCACTTGTAGGAATCCCATTGATATAACCATTTTTTTGTTCCTTTATCATCCTTTGTCTCCGGAATTTTTAGTTATGAGATGAATCAGTTCTCCACTGGGCATCTTGCATAGTGTGATCAGTTTTTTTAAAATTAATAGACATCAGCGTTTATGTTATAATAATTCTATTTTATTACATCTGGATCAGTTGTTAGAAAAATAGGTATTGGTAAGTTCTGTATTATTATTAGGGCGTTTAATTTGCTCCCTTCTTTGGCGACTCATTTTATTGCTTATAAACCTTGTTGGAGATCGTAATTATCGGTCTTCTTGTTTTTGATTGTATTAAACAGCATAAATAGTCCTCTTTTTATTACTTGTTTTATCGTTTATACATCATTTCACTGATCTGTTGTTTTTGTGTAAAAATTTATAGAGGTAAGCAGCATGTACTTTTAAATTATTAAAAGTTAAAGTTTAATCCCCATACTTTTAATTAATTAGTCAAAGTGGAAAAGAACATTTTTGTTACGAGGAGTTTATTTTCAGGAACAAGAGGCGCACTGCTAGGAATAAAATCATTTTCATTCATGTGTTAGGTCTGAAAAAGGTTAAAGAACTATAACTCTAATTTCTCTTTAATTTTTAAAAGAATATTTCTTACTATATACGTTTTTTTAATGGATATTGAACTACAACAGCTTTATTATTTTATTTTTAGGATAAAGATAATTCGACGCTTTTTTTCAATCAAGAAGCAGAACATTTAGAGATGCTTTTCAGCAGATGATGAAAATGATCAAACGATGAAAAAGCAATTGATAAGAATGACTTCTCTTCAATAAGTATTCAACAAAGGTAATGTTCCCTTATTAATACCTAAACTAACATGCATTATACTTTTATACAATGTTTATAAAAAAATTGTATACAATACTTTCCGGTTATCTCTATCAAAACTACAATAATTTTAATTAAATACAAAAAACTGAATAGTTAAGTACCCGCTTGATATATAGAGTTTGTTTTCAAAGTTTTTTTTAAAGTTTTCTGTCATCGAAACTAAGGCTCCTATACTATCAGAGCTGACCTATCAAGCAATATTGGATTAAACAAGTTCGCAAGTTAACGTTATGTTAGTATTAGTTATGTTAGGTGCTTATGTTAGCTCTTTGCTCCAAAAATAAATGATAAGTCGGCCTGTCTAATTCAGGGGCTCTAATCGAAACATGGCTGATTACATATTATTCTATTGCAATTATGCAATAACATCACTTAGTTTTATAATTAAACATATAATTAGAACTTGGAGACGACCGGTTTCCGCATGAAACCTTGAGACGAATATTTTACATTATTTTTAACAAACGAGAATATTAATATTTCAATATTTAGAAATAAATTGAAGACTTTATTAAATCTTAGAATGCAAATACAAGGATATTTGTGTAGATTCAGAAATCTTCTTCTGGATTATGACTATCTGTGCTTGACAACATACAAATTTCTTCATAGAAGGGGAAAGATTCATTTGGTTTATATTGTAGAGCATCTTTGATGTCAGCAATTTTCTTGCATAGTTTATGGCAACTTTTTCAAAATATGTTGTCCTAACTGGTAGTGGAGCCACTTTTAGGGTACTTTTTCCGAACAAAACAAATATTCATTTGCCTAAACAACTAATGAAGGAAGATACTTCAACTTCGTCCGTTGGTCACCCATGAGGGGAAAGAGTATTCGACAACCTTCATCTATCAAAAGATACAATATTGAATCGAGTTAACATCCCTTATATACTAGAAGGGAATTAATGTTTAATAATTGTAGTGATATTTACGCCACAATACTCCCCCATCCAGAATTTTATCTGGGATAGAATTATATGAACGGATATCACTACGGATATTGTTTCAATGAGGTTTCGCGGAAGACCAGGAAAGCTGTATTAAGTTCACCAGATTTTGAGTACTTGTGGTGAGAGCTGTTTTAAGTTCACGGTTGTGTCTGTGGTCTATCCTGTGTTGCTATTAGCAGTTGAGTGCGTGCAGGATGCCGTTGTGAGTAAATGAGACTGAGAAGCGACAGCGCGAAGAGGACAATGACGCTTTCACAGATAGCAATCTGTTCAATGTAGACCATTCATCGAGGTGGGCATTACTTTCGATGTAGGCGAGTTCATGTCGCATCTGTTGATCACCCATGAGGGGAAAGAACATACGACAACCTTCGTTTATCAAACGGTACAATATTGAATCGAGTTAACATGTCTTATATACTAGAAGGGAATTGATGTTTAATAATCGTAGTGATATTTACGCCACAAACGCTTAATTAAAGAGCTATTTTTAGACATTACATCTTAATTGTGCCCAATCTCGTAAACCAGAGTTCTCCAAACTTTTTAGCTTAAGGGCTATATTGAATCCTCCATTAAGTCATAAAACTCCCATTGACTCTTCCATTATTTCATAAAGGTCAAACTAGCAAAAGGGGGTATTTAGAAGGAGTTAACTCTCTATTGAGAATTGCGGAAAATTTGCAAAACACTTATCTAGATACAATACTAAGGAATAGTTTGCTATATAAAAATGACTCGTTTTAAAAAGTGTGTCTTATCACTATATTGCCAAAAACTTTTCAATTAAATTAGAGATTTTTGTTGCGAATGATGCTAACGAATAAAGTAATTGACAATTTATTTGAAAATAAACATACTTTTATTTACTATTTATAATAAAACTGTAAACAAATTTTATTTATCATCGAACGGAATTTCGTCTGAATCATGGGAAACATTCCTCTAATCTTCATCAATTTGGAAGGAAATAATGCACTTGATTCTTTAGCAATTTGCTGAACAATTTCCTTACTATTAAAGGCAGATAAATCCCAAAATAAATGCAATTTTCTGCCGTTAAAGCTTATTACAGTGCTCTTACGGAAACTGAATAAACAATGTGCAAAAGTTATAGTCCCTGGAAATTCCAGTGACAGTCAAGTGATGAATTATGCAGCACCAATACTCCTACCAATTGTTGCAGAACGTCTTAATTGGAGATTAAAGGAAGATTGCATTCTCATGGGTGGAGTTCCTGTTCTTTATACCTCCACCCTATAGAAAAGGCAGATTAAATATTTATTGATCAAAGGATACACCTGTCGTTTGACCTTGAAACATTGTTGCAAGAACAAGCTGAACTTTTTTTTATTTTATTTATAGAATAATTGACTTTATTGATGGTAGAAAATAATGATCATCTCAAATATTTCACAAATATATAAATTTTTTAAATAAGAAATAACGTTATATGGTTCATGTTTAGTCTGATTAAACGCTATTTATTGAAAAATAAATTTGCAACATTTATAAAATTTAATATTTGATTATTGCCATATGTACTGTATTGTACATAAGCGTATGTGCTCATGGTTGTATAGAACAATCTTTAAAACTAACATAAAATTAAACTTTAGTCATACAAACTGTCAACAAATACAAAACGATATCTAATGGTATTGCCAAAACGAGAAAGATAAAAGAAATAAACTAATTAAAATGAACATATTAATGCAAGTTTAGCTCTTGCTTCTGGAACATCTGCATTGTGATGTCATAGTAGGCATTACATATTTCCCAGCTTTTCAAGAATTCTTTAATTTCATGAATTAGTTTTTTTTAATCATTACTTAATCCAATTGTAATTAAATTAAAGCAATTGTTTAATTGTTATCACATTTTATAAAAGGGAAATATTAAAATTTTATTGCTTTCTTAACAGTAACTTATTTCAATTTATCGGCTAAATTTTTAATGGCATACTTGCAAGTGACGTAGTGCCGGTATCTCGATCCCGATTGGTTGTTGAAACGTGGCATTTATTTACGTCAGCAACTGATCTTTCCATTCTGTTTCGAGTAAGCCAAGCTCGTCAAGTATTGATTCTCTTCAGTAACACATTCTAAATTCTTTCGCGAAGATTTTAATTCTTTCAAAGAGATTTAACACAAAGGCAGAGACATGAAGCCATGTGGAATAAAAATCAACTAATTATGCATCGAAGTTGCCAGGTACACAAAACAAAAATAATATCAGGGTTACAATAAAATACACAAACTAATAATAAATCTAAGTTAAAAGTAAAAGAAGTAGACAAGAAAGAAATACACTTCAACTAATTCGATGTGCGATACGGTTCTTTGTTTAATTAACCTATCGTTAGTTAATATTCTAATTTATGTGGAGAATTTTAGCTCAACTTTAATTCACCATTTTGCAGACAAATATTAGCTGGCGCTGATGTCATAGGTCACATGTGTGGGTAAGGAAGGTCTTTTTCTTATTGAAGTACCCAATTCAATACAAATGTATAACTCATTAATTCAATGTCTCGATTGAACATCATAAGGCATTTTTCAACTCTAACCGGCTTTATTTCTCTAACCACAAAAATGATTCCGGTTATATTAATTTTTCACGGTCTTTCTGGTCATGAAGCAGTAGCCAAATTATACAAAATGCAATATTAATAAGGCGGTGTGGGCTTTGCTTTCGACTATTTCATCTATCGATAAATCAGCAACTATGGATCTCTTCCCATGCTCCTATATGTCCATGGAGAACTTTTCATTCACTTGTAATTTAAAATTCTTGGCGTTAGGACTGGGGATGTTGGTTGATCGATAACACTACAGTCCGGTCGTTATTGATTACAAAAAAATCATCATGTTAAAAAAATGCACCCCTTCGTCTATTAAAGTTTTTTTTAATTTTATTTCCAATGAGCTGCACAATCGGTCTTGCCGATGAACAGACCTAGTGCGTTCTCCAGAGGTGGTATCCACTCTTTCAGGACCACCACCACAATGGGTGAGATACCGTTGATCATGTTAATTTGGACGTCTAGTTTCTGCCACACTAGATGGCAGCACCGAGACTCTATTTGGATGCTAAAGTGCACTAGGAATTTAATTTTGCCGGAAATGCCAAGAGCCAATGAGGCACTCCAGGGATCTTTTACATGCCGCATAATCATACGACATGGCCGCTGAGAATTTTCTGCATCCTGAAAATCCGGTGTCTGGGCCGGGGATCGAACCCGCAGACTTGTGCTCAGAAGGCCGACGACAAACCAACTGCGCCACCCAGCCACTCGTCTTTTAAAGTAGATTTGCTTATTATTTTGTATGTCCTTATGCTTTTCACGTCCTTTCAATGTTTGATATATCTGTGGACTCATTCCACTTTCACTAAAAGACTCAATGTCCAATGCGTAAAATAAAAAACGAACCACCTGAATATCTTTTGATCTAAAGATCGGATCTTCATGTTTTAAGACTCAATCTTAATGTCTCGAGAGGGTGACCTCAAATATGCTAATTAATAAGTGCAGACGATATTTTAAGTTGCGAAATCACACACAGAAACACACTTTCTCTGAATAAATATACCTTTTGCGATGGATTCGACTATTTGATCTCTAAAAATAGCGGATAACCGCAATCTGAGAAATATGGTCCCTATAGTTCCGTCAGAAGAACGATCCAAAGTTGAGAACCCTTAATGGTGATTTTATTTTTTGCGTATTTCGTCATTCGAGTTGAAATTTTTTTAACCACAATTACAAAAATCGTTCATCCAAAAATAATTTAAACTCAAGGAAATTTTTTCGAAAAAAAAAACTTTTTGAAAATATTTATTATTTTTTATTACTTTGTTTGATAATGATCGAAAAATTTGTTAATTCTAAGGTATACGATTAGGGTACTGTTTGACCTTTCGCGCTTATTTTATTCCTGGAAAATGTCTAGAAGTTTCCAAGGATCTGTTCTCTGACGAAAGCTCCAGTTCCTTACTTATT